TGGGGTGGTGGGCTTTGGGGCTTGGGGATTGGGGTTTGGGGATTGGGGTTTGGGGATGGGGTCTGGGGTTTGAGTATTTGGAGTTTGGGTATTTGGGATTTGGGTATTTGAGTCTGGGGCTTGGGATTTGGGGTCTGGGGTTTGGGGTCTGGGATTGGGGTCTGGGGGCTGGGGATTGGGGTTTGGGGTCTGGGGATTTGGGATTTGGGTATTTGGAATTTCAGTATTTGGGTCTGGGGTTTGGGTGTTTGGGGTCTGGGGATTGGAGTTTGGGGCTGGGCTCAGGGTTTGGGGATTTGGGGATTGGGATTTGAGGTCTGGGATTTGGGGTTTGAGGATGGATCCCCCCCATCCTGAGAAGCGGGGTTTGGGGTGGGAGGGTCACACCTGGGGTTTGTTCACAAAGGCTCCCCTAAAACCTCCTGGGGACCCTCCAGAGCCCCTCAGGGATCCCCCAAAACTCCTGGAGATGCCCTGGAACTTCTTGGGGACCCCTAAAACCTCCCAGGGATCCCCCCAAACCTCTCGGGACCCCCTGGGGACCCCCCCAAAGCTCCTGGGACCCCCGGGCCCTGACGCCGCTCTCCCCAGACCTGCACTACTTCCACTGCCTGCGCATCGTGGAGATCCTCAGGGCCACCGAGGCCTCCACCAGGAACCTCTTCGGGCGCTACTCGTCCCAAAGGATGAAGGTGGGAGCGCCTTCCTCTTCCTCCTCTTCCTCCTCTTCCTCCTCTTCCTCCTCTTCCTCCTCTTCCTCCTCTTCCTCCTCTTCCTCCTCTTCCTCCTCTTCCTCCTCTTCCTCCTCTTCCTCCTCTTCCTGCTCTTCCTCCTCCTCCTCCTCCTCCTCCTGACCCCGTGTCCGTCCCCAGGACTGGCAGGAGATCGTGGCTCTCTACGAGAAGGAGAACGCCTACCTGGGTGAGGGGTGGGAATGGGAACGGGAACGGGAACGGGAATGGGAATGGGAGCGGGAACGGGAATGGGAACGGGAATGGGAATGGGAACAGGAATGGGAACGGGAACGGGAATGGGAACGGGAATGGGAATGGGAACAGGAATGGGAACGGGAACGGGAATGGGAACAGGAATGGGAACGGGAACGGGAACGGGAATGGGAACGGGAATGGGAACGGGAATGGGAATAGGAATGGGAGCGGGAATTCCCCAAGGTGTCCCAAAGAACCCCATGGGTGGGTGGGATTCTGCCCCAAAACTGGGATGGGATGGGATAGGATAGGATCTGTGGGATGGGATCAGTGGGATCCATGGGATGGGATGGGATGGGATCAATGGGATGGGATGGGATGGGATCAATGGGATGGGATCAATGGGATGGGATCAATGGGATGGGATGGGATCTGTGGGATGGGATGGGATGGGATCAATGGGATGGGATCAATGGGATGGGATCAATGGGATGGGATGGGATCTGTGGGATGGGATGGGATGGGATCAATGGGATGGGATCAATGGGATGGGATCAATGGGATGGGATGGGATCTGTGGGATGGGATGGGATGGGATCAATGGGATGGGATCAATGGGATGGGATCAATGGGATGGGATGGGATCTGTGGGATGGGATGGGATGGGAATGGGGACAGGGATGGGATGGGATAATGGGATGGGATCTGTGGGATGGGATGGGGTCCATGGGATGGGATGGGGATTGGGATGGGATTTAAAGCAGGAATTCCACCCCCAAACCGAAACGAGCTGGGATTTCAAGAGCGACCTCAACCTCCAAACCGGGCTGGGCAAGCGCGGGGGGTTTTTGGGGAGGCCACACCTCAGGGGTACAACACCCCCGGGCCATGGGGGACCCGGGGTGACCCCGCTGTCCCCAGCCGAGCTCTCCAGCCTGCTGGGCCGCAGCGTGGCGTTCGAGCTGCCGGCGCTGCGGCGGCAGCTGGGCCGGTGCCGGCAGGCGCAGCAGGAGCTGGCGCGGCGCGAGGACGAGTGCCAGCTCCGCGCCGGCGAGCTCCGGGAGCGATTCCTGACCTCCTGCCGCCAGTACGGCATCGCCGTGAGTGCCAAAATAACCCCAAATGGGGATGGGGTAACCCCAAATGGGGCTGGGGTAACCCCAAATGGGGCTGGGGTAACCCTAAATGGGGCTGGGGAGTGCCAAAATAACCCTAAATGGGGATGGGGTAACCCTAAATGGGGATGGGGTAACCCTAAATGGGGATGGGGTAACCCTAAATGGGGCTGGGGAGTGCCAAAATAACCCCAAATGGGGATGGGGTAACCCCAAATGGCACTGGGGATCGCCTCGGGGACCCCAAATGGGGATGGGGAGTGCCAAAATAACCCCAAAATGGGGATGGGGAGCATCATGGGAACCCCAAATGGGGCTGGGGTAACCCCAAATGGGGAGGGGGTCACCCCAAATGGAGCTGGGGTAACCCTAAATGGGGCTGGGAAGCACCAAATGGGGATGGGGAGTGCCAAAATAACCCCAAATGGGGATGGGGTAACCCCAAAATAGCCCCAAACAGGCCCTAAAACAACCCCCCCTAAGGGGTCACACTGGGACCAGAGTGTCCCCAGGGTGTCCCCAAGTGTCCCCTCGGTGTCCCCAGGGTGGGGACGTGCGCCAGGAGCTGCTGGCCCAGGTGGAGGCGCTGCCGTCGCTGCTGTCCCGCATTGGGGACAGCGCCAGCGCCCTCGGGGACGCCATCGAGCTGTACGAGGCCTGCGTGGCCTTCGTGTGTGACAGGTGGGGACAACACCAGAACAGCCCCAGAACAACCCCAGAACAGCCCCAAAACAACACCAGAACAACCCCAAAACACCAGAACAGCCCCACAACAGCCCCAGAACAACCCCAGAACAGCCCCAAAACACCAGAACAGCCCCAGAACAGTTCCTGCTTCCTCCAAAGCGCTGTCACATCCCCGGTGTCACATCCCCGGTGTCACATCCGCGGTGTCACATCCCCGGTGTCACATCCCCCGTGTCCCCATGACCAATGTCCCCGTGCCGCCTGTCCCATCTTGGTGTCCTGGTGTCCCCACAGTCCCGGTGTCCCGGTGTCCCCATGTCCCATCCCAGTGTCCCCATGTCCCCACAGTCCCGGTGTCCCCATGTCCCCACAGTCCCGGTGTCCCCATGTCCCCACAGTCCCGGTGTCCCGGTGTCCCCATGTCCCATCCCAGTGTCCCCATGTCCCCACAGTCCCGGTGTCCCCGTGTCCCCATGTCCCCGCTGTCCCCATGTCCCCACCCTCCGTCCCGGT